ATCTAAGTGAACCTATTACAAACCTCAACTGTTACTGAACCCTTTGTAATATCCTGTACACTGACATATCAATCCTATATCTAAGTGAACCTATTACAAGCCTCAACTGTTACTGAACCTTTCTAATATCCTGTACACTGACATATCAATCCTATATCTAAGTGAACCTATTACAAGCCTCAACTGTTACTGAACCTTTCTAATATCCTGTACACCCTCACATCTATACAATATCCTGTACACTGACACATCCTTATAATATCGTGTACACTGACACATCCTTACAATATCCTGTACACTGACACATCCTTACAATATCCTGTAAACTGACACATCCTTACAATATCGTGTACACTGACACATCCTTACAATATCCTGTACACTGACACATCCTTACAATATCCTGTACACTGACACATCCTTACAATATCCTGTAAACTGACACATCCATACAATATCGTGTACAATGACACATCCTTACAATATCGTGTACACCCTCACAATATCGTGTACAATGACACATCCTTACAATATCGTGTACACCCTCAAAATATTGTGTACACTGACACATCTTTACAATATTTTGATTGATCAGGTCTAGATCTTTGTACTTAATACATATTTTATAAGTTTGGTATTTATTCACTGATACTGTATTGAAATATCATGTCCACAAGGTTGGGAAAGGTTTTCTTTACAGTAATGACCTTCAATAGCTAATCAAGTCTACAACTTTGTATGTAGTACATGCTCTATAAGACTGGTCAAAATACATACATCAAATCTTGAGATATCCTATCCACAAGATCAAGATGGACAGGTGCAATCCAATGTGCCATACTCTGCTTTGCAAGCCATTAACAGTTGTGTGTAGTATTTGATCTTATGAGGTTTTAATGTTTCCTTTATAATCACCATTAACAGTTGTGTGTAGTATTTGATCTTATGAGGTTTTAATGTTTCCTTTATAATCACCATTAACAGTTGTGTGTAGTATTTGATCTTATGAGGTTTTCTAAAACATTTGTTCTTATTCAGAAGATGCATTCCATTATAACAAACTGTAGTCAAATATTTTTATGATGTCACTTACTAGCTTTAATTACACTGACATGTGTATATGTCACTTACCAGCTTTAATTACACTGACATGTGTATATGATGTCAGAAGTTTTAATTACACTGACATATGTATATATGATGTCACCAGCTTTAATTACACTGACATGTGTATATGATGTCAGAAGTTTTAATTACACTGACATATGTATATATGATGTCACCAGCTTTAATTACACTGACATGTGTATATGATGTCAGAAGTTTTAATTACACTGACATATGTATATATGATGTCACCAGCTTTAATTACACTGACATGTGTATATGATGTCACCAGCTTTAATTACACTGACATATGTGTATATGATGTCACCAGCTTTAATTACACTGACATATGTGTATATGATGTCACTTACTAGTTTTAATTACACTGACATGTGTGTATATGATGTCACCAGCTTTAATTACACTGACATATGTATTTATGATGTCACCAGCTTTAATTACACTGACATGTGTATATGATGTCAGAAGCTTTAATTACACTGACATGTCTATATGATGTCACTTACTAACTTTAATTACACTGACATGTGTATATGATGTCACCAGCTTTAATTACACTGACATGTGTATATGATGTCACCAGCTTTAATTACACTGACATGTGTATATGATGTCACCAGCTTTAATTACACTGACATGTCTATATGATGTCACCAGCTTTAATTACACTGACATGTGTATATGATGTCACCAGCTTTAATTATACTGACATACGTGTATATGATGTCACCAGCTTTAATTATACTGACATGTGTATATGATGTCACCAGCTTTAATTACACTGACATGTCTATATATGATGTCACCAGCTTTAATTACACTGACATGTGTATATGATGTCACCAGCTTTAATTACACTGACATGTCTATATGATGTCACCAGCTTTAATTACACTGACATAT